ACTCTTGGCTCAGGTCATGATCTAATGGTTTGTGAGATCCATGCAGAAGGAGAAATTAAGAAAACAACACCATTTATAACTGCACCAAAAATAATGAGATACCTAGGAATAAAACTAACCAAAGAGGTGAAAGACCTGTACTTTGAAAACACTGACGAGGGGCGCCAGGGTGGCGCAGTCGGTTAAGCGTCCGACTTCAGCTCAGGTCACAATCTCGCGGTCCGTGAGTTCGAGCCCCGCGTTGGGCTCTGGGCTGATGGCTCAGAGCCTGGAGCCTGTTTCCGATTCTGTGTCTCCCTCTCTCTCTGCCCCTCCCCCGTTCATGCTCTGTCTCTCTCTGTCCCAAAAATAAATAAACATTAAAAAAAAAAAAAAATTAAAAAAAAAAAAGAAAACACTGACGAAAGTAACTGAAGAGGACACAAAGAAACAGAAAGACATTTCATGCTCATGGATTAGAAGAACAAATATTGTTAAAATATCTATTCTACCCAAAGCAATTGACAGAGTCAATGCAATCCCTATCAAAATACCATCAGCATTTTTCACAGAACCAGAACAAACAGTCCTAAAATTTGTATGGCACCACAAAAGTGGTGCCAAAAGCAATCCAAATAGGCAAAGCAATCTTTTTTTTTTTTTTTTCCCAACGTTTATTTATTTTTGGGACAGAGAGAGACAGAGCATGAACGGGGGAGGGGCAGAGAGAGAGGGAGACACAGAATCGGAAACAGGCTCCAGGCTCCGAGCCATCAGCCCAGAGCCCGACGCGGGGCTCGAACTCACGGACCGTGAGATCGTGACCTGGCTGAAGTCGGACGCTTAACCGACTGCGCCACCCAGGCGCCCCTAGGCAAAGCAATCTTAAAAAAGCAAAGCCAAGCTGGAGGCATCACAATTCCAGACTTCAAGTTATATTATACGGCTACAGTAATCCAAACAGTATGGTACTGGCACAAAAACAGATACATAGAGCAATAAAACAGAATAGAAAACCCAGAAATAAACTCACAACCACATGGTCAATCTTTGACAAAGCAGGAAAGAACATTCAATGAGAAATGAGCAGTCTCTTTAACAAATGGTGCTGCAAAAACTGGATAGTAACATGCAAAAGAATGAAACTGGATGACTTTCTTATACCACACACAAAAATAGATTCAAAATGGATTAAAAACCTAAATTTGAGACAAGAATCCAAGAAGAGAACACAGGCAGGAACTTCGTGACATCAGCTGTAGCAACTTCTTTCTATGTATGTCTTCTGAGGCAAGGGAAACAAAAGAAAAAATGAACTATTGGGACCTCATCAAAATAAAAAAAACTTCTGCAAAGTGAAGGAAACAATCAACAACACTAAAAGGCAACCAATGAAATGGGAGAAGATATCTGCAAATGACATATCTGATAAAGGGTTAGTAGCCAAAATATACAAAGAACGTATTCAACACTAAAAAAACTGCACAAAAAATCCAATTAAAAAATGGGCAAAAGACATGAGTAGACATTCTTCCAAAGACATAGAGACAGCCAAAAGACACATAAAAAGATGTTCATCATCATTTAGTATCAAGGAAATATAAATCAAAACTCTAATGAGATATCACCTCACAACTGTCAGAATGGCTAAACTCAACACACAAGAAACAAAAGGTGTTGGCAAGGATGTGGAGAAAAAAGAACACTCATGCACCGTTGGTGGGAATACAAACTAGTGAGGCTACTGTGGAAAATGGTGTGGAGGTTCCTCGAAACGTTAGATTCAATTGAAATAGAAACTTAAAGAAAAAAAAAAGATGATCTGGAGGAATCTCCGATGGGTAAGTAGGAGGAGATAAGAAAAAGAGAAGGTTTGGAGCAACCTCCAGAGGTGACAAATTCCATCTGGGCCAAGAAATATGGAGGCACCCACAACGAGATGGCCAACAGGAGCCAGGAATGTGGGTTCAGACACAAAGAAAGAGCTTTACAATCCATACGGAGATTCCTGGAAATCAAAGGCATGATTAACACCAACACTTATTTGCAAAATATTTTATATGTGTCATTGTATTTCAAATACATCCATATATGAATAAAATATAAAGGTAGTAAGCAAATGCATTTCAGTCATTTACAAATTTTTCAAATTAAAATATGAAGTCTTAACACAGGATCAAGAAACTACTGATCACACGTCTCTTATCTGTCTATGAATGTGAATCACGACAGCGGTGAATTCCTTGGAATCATATGCTGCTGCTGCTGATGATGATAGTAACAAACTCTTATATAGCACTTACTATGTTAAGCATATTACCCTTTTCTGTAATTTTTCTCCATTAAAATATCCTAATTGTCGGGGCAGGCAGAAAAATGCATGTGTAGTCCAGCTTTAACCTTAACCTCAAATCTACTTAGTAAAACTTGTGCTATTGATTCTTGTCTACCTTGTAGCAACAATCAGGTAAACGCGATGAAGTTTTGCCAGATTCTTCTTGTTTTGCTCTCTCTAGCCAACCTCAGTGACTTTTATATTTACAATCAATTTGTTACACTTTTAACTAACTAGAGTTGGTACCATCTCTTCTTCCAATACTATAAATATTCCCTCTGATCAAAACTGTCTATTATACAACAAAAGCCAGAGGAGAACCTCCTTCCTCCAAAACTCCTCCCTGAGTAAGAGAAGGATTACTCATTCATTCAGCAAATGATAGGCTTGGACTTGTTCTCTAAATTCCCTTTTAGCTCTAAATAGGATCAGAGAAGCACTCCCATGGCCACATCACTTAAATGAATTATCACGGGTTTGCACAGGCCCAGGTACAGACACAGCTGGGTCATTCTCAATCCTTTAATCCAGTATGATTTTCCTAAAACCACTCCTCAAGAAACAAAATGGCTTTTTGAAAAGTTTATTTTAATTTTCTTAATTTTACTTTTATTTAAACTTGCTTTATTGTCTCTTTCCCTGCTTTCACCCTGGGCCCAGCATATGAAAGGCACCTCGTTAATTCCTGAAGAGCAAAAATTCTGCCTTACAAACACGGTAGAGAATGCCCAACCATAAAGTGGCAGCTATATAAATGTTTATAGAACTAATCTGTGACTAAGAAGCCGCTTAGTTCAGTAAGCCGAAATCTCCACTGAAAGTCTGAAAGGTAAGCCCTCCCTGCTATGCTCTACCTAAGTGGGGAGGGAGTAGTAATCAGCTGGCTTCCAGAATTCCCTTAAGAAGAATCCCTGGACCTGGAATACTAGCATGTCAGCACATTTGCAGAAATAACGGGGAAAATGAAGACCAAAGACCGACTTGAACTTTACATTTCTTTGTTCTCATTATCCATTCCCCAAACCACAGGAGTATAAAACAAAAATGATCCTTTCGTGTAAAAAGGTTGGAATACTAACCTTTACTGAGTCTATTCCCACACTGCACAGTGGAGCTCTCATCCTCGTGTAGGTCGAATTTTACCTTTTTTTTCACCATGAAAACCAATTTTGATAGTTTTTGAAAATGAAACCAATTTCCATTTCTTAAACTATAAGTCACTCTCAATTTCTAAATTTAGCATCTGAAAATTACAAATTAATTTCCTTCTAGAATGTAAGTTTTAAAAAGAAAGAGGGCTTGCTTATCTTCCACAGCTGCATCCACAGTGCCTAATACATGTGGCTGATAATCAATAAATACTTGTCGAAGGGAAGAATAAACATACATTTCAACTGACATAACATAGAAAGGATCTGGCAAATAAGCATCTGGGGGAACTCTGTAAGGGAGATAAAAGAACAATTACTACCTGAAGTACCTCGCCACCTACTCTTAAAAGAGCATAGAAAATTGGGAAATTGAAATGTGGAGCCTGCTTCTATCTCGCACTCTCAAACTTGTTTGCTACGGCTGCCTGGCAAGGGCAGTTAGCAGATGCTCTATTCTTTCTGGTGGGAAACAATTGCTCTCCAAGCCTGAAGACAAAGAATACACATGCACATCCTTCTAGTGTCCAGATCTAGGCTGACTGACACCACAGCCACCAGCCCCACATGTTTATCAAGTATCTGAAATGTGGCTTGTGTGAAACAAAATGGGCTGGAATGTCAGATACAAACCAGATTTCTAAAGATGAGGACAAAAACTGGACGTACACTGTCCCACTGATAACTGTTTTACGTTAATTACATGTTGAAATGATAGCAGTTTGGACATATTGGGGTAAACAAAATATATTAATAAAACCAATTTCACCGGTTTCTTGTTACTTTTCTTAATACAGAAAATTTTGGAATATTTACGTGGCTCACATTATATTTCTATTGGACAGTGCTAATCCAGACTGACAGTAAAAGAGTCTGTATGCTACCAGAAGGAATATGCGTGGAAAAACAGCAGGATCTGGTTCCTAATTTCACAATCTGTAATTAGGGAGATTAGATTTTCTACCACAAAACAATGTATAGTCTCCCTTGAAGGCGCACACCAGCATTAGGAGATAACACATTAGCCTTAATAGATAATGAGAAAACTGAGGCACAAAAAGAAGGCACTTATACAAAGTTACAGAGCTGATAAATGGGAGGGCAAAACCCTGACCCAAACTCAGCATGTCCAAATGCATGTCCTTCCCCTTCCTCTCCTCCACTCAGAGAACTTTCCCTACTAGAGGCTTAAAAAGGATACCAACCATCTTTCCTGCCTTACCCTGCTGTGGGTTTCTCTTTGATACTCTACACCCTTATTTCTCCCAGCCACTAACCCAAAGAAAAGAGAACTATGTGACAATATGGCTGAATATTTTGGAAAAATTACCAGAGTGACATCCCATATGCTGCTATCTCGTGAAGAAAAGAATCAAGGTTTCCTAATTGGGCTCTTTTGCCTTTGCGATTCAAAAGCTTTCCACTGTATCGGCACCGTTCGTATAACCCGCTACATAGAAATTTACCTACTGGGACACCGCTACCTGTGAGGTCACTAATTTGGGCAAGTGCATTTCACCTGTTGTGAATTAGCTTACTTAGTCTCTTAGCAGCCTCCAGAGCTTCGTTCGCACTGTCTGCTACAAAGAATCTTTGAACTTTCACTCCATTGTCAGACATCAGTTTCTTGCTCTGGTATTCCTGCAGGTTCAGCCATCTTCGGGGGGTTAACTGCACTGCCTAGAGAGATTGAGAGAGACAGAGGTAAGAACGCTTACAAATAAGAAAAATAACAGTCAACGTATGTAGCCAGTCTTATAGGTACCCACAAACAACAATCAGCAACACCTTTTTTTTTTTTTTTAATTTTTTTTTTCAACGTTTATTTATTTTTGGGACAGAGAGAGACAGAGCATGAACGGGGGAGGGGCAGAGAGAGAGGGAGACACAGACTCGGAAACAGGCTCCAGGCTCCGAGCCATCAGCCCAGAGCCTGACGCGGGGCTGGAACTCACGGACCACGAGATCGTGACCTGGCTGAAGTCGGACGCTTAACCGACTGCGCCACCCAGGCGCCCCTTTTTTCTTTTTTTTTAAATTTTTTTTAACACCTTTTTTTAAAAGAAAAAAAAACTCCTATATAAATACTTCATGCTTGTTCTTCTAATCAAAAATGTTTAAGACAACCACACACACAAATGAATGCAGGTTTAAAGAAATGGTGAGAAGTGAATAGGGTCTATCATCCAGTTAACAAGAATGTACCGATATCAATTTCCTAATTTTGGTATTGAACTAAAAAGACCTAAGATCTCAACGTGAGGAGAAGAGGGGGAAGGGTATGTGGGACTGCTGCACTTTTTTTGCAGCTCCCTGAGTCTGTAAATATTTAAGAATAAATGAGACCATTTAAAAAAAAAAGAATAAAAATTATTTTCTTAAGTTTATTTATTTGACAGAGGAAGAGAGGGCATGCAAGAAGAAGCTGGAAGGGGCAGAGAGGGGGCAGGAGGAGAAAATCCAAATTAGGCACTGCACTGTCAGTGAAGAGCCCGACTCGGGGCTAGAACCCAGGAACCATGAGATCATGACATGAGCCAAAACCAGGAATTGGAGACTTAACTGCCTAAGCCACCCAGGTGGGCACCCCTTAAGAGTTACTTTTTAAAATGTTAAGAAATGCATTATAAAGGATATACCTCCCCCACATTCCCACCCCAAATAAAGTTCATAGCATTATTTTAATAACTGTGTGCACATTGTTAGTCACTAAGGTATCTCAGAAAATTTTCTTAACACTTTGAGGCTCAATGGACCACAGACTAATCCACTTCTTTGCCATAGTTTTTAATGGACTCTAGGTACAATCATTATGTGATGAAGAAGATTACCTCTTTCACAAACCAAATTTGAAGACGGTCACCTGAAACAATTATCATAAATAAACTACTTCCTAAAAACTGCAACTCGTGTATTAAAGTAACTTTGCCTACGTATCATGCAGAAGTTTCTTCCAATGTGCGCTATCGATTACTTTTTAATCTGTGCTGAAAAAAAGTAATTAAGGAGCAGAATAACATGAACAAATAAATTCTCATTTTTTTCAGTAAGATCAACATCATTCCCTATTTTTAAAAGAAAAAAAAATGAATATACCTAGTTTAAGCTCATTTCCATCCATGAGTCCTGATGCAAAAAAACAAAACAAAACAAACAAAAAAAACAAAAAACCACTGCCCCAGAGTAGGTTAGACAACAATACCATTAATGCACAAACCGAAAAAGTCAATCATACAACAGGATCACAAGAGTGAAGGAAAATCACCTGTCATACTGCCTAGCGTCTTTTGTCAATGGCCTTGGTGGACGGCCAAAGCAGTTTAAAGATATCTTTCTGTTCCACTCTTCTGAATATTGGTAATGCTGTTTTCAATGCTAAAGCTGTCTGCACTTCTTTAGAAATAAATAATACCAGAGTTTTAAAATAAATTGCCAGAGAAGTTATGGTCACATCATTTACTGTATGGTTTATTAGCTGTATATGATTTGTTAATCTTACTTCTGAATTTTAAGTCTTGATGAAACATTAGTAATTTGAAAAACACAGAATTTCACACATGAACATACACATTGACCTAACAGTCTTATTAACACATCACATAATGTACCAAAAAAATTCAAGTTTAAGACATTTAGTGAAAGTCCCCTAATGAAAGAAAAGATTAAACGTTAGATGTATACTATATTCTGGGACCACTTTTAAAAGGCAGATGGGGAAGGATCAATAGATTAAGTATATGTTGACATACCAACTTAAAGCCATTAACAGAAAAAGAAAAAAAGAAATACAATTTGTGAAGAACATTTGAGAGAGACTAAAACTGCCACAAGTATGGTGTGGTCAATTCCTTTTCATTAGAACACTCACGGTATTAATTTTAGATATGTTAATGCAATCTGCTGCAAACTAATTGCAATTGATCAAGAGACCAGCTTCACAGACATATAATACATATTGACCGTTTCTACATTGACTCAGATGAAAAAGCCTGCTTGAAGTCTGTTGCTCTTAAATTGAAAACCAACACAGTGAACACAGTTCTGAGCCACTGCAGATACGCAAGCTATCACTCCACAAAGCAATCATCTTATAGAATAATCGGCTACCTTTGTTAACCTAAGCTCAGAAGAGCAGGGTCCCTGACTGGGTCTAAAACTGCATGAACTCAGCTGCACTGACTAAGAATTTGTGGTACGTCTAGAGAGGAAAAGGTTAAATCCACCTCTGCATTTTCAGGAGGAAGAAAAAAGGAGAAATTTACTAAGTAAGTGGATGGTGTAAAGTATGCTAGGAATATAATCAACTGCTGAATCATAAAAACAATAATAAGAATAGTTTCATCTTCTATTACGGAGCATTGGCCATGTGTAGGCAGTATACTAAGCTCGCGTGTTATCTTACAGTCAAGGCAATCGTGAAAAATGAAGTAGTATTATTTCTCTCTGTAGTTGTCACTGATGCAACCTTCCTCCTTCCAATACTTCCTTGCCTCAGATGAAGTTACGTACGGCTGTGTAAGATCGTTCATAAATACGTATGGTGTGTAACTCACCTGGACCAACATCTGATTGCCAACCCCTCTCCCCCTAAGTTCTCTCTGTCTTGACATGGGGAATGGGAATATTCATGCGGCAGCTAATCTATCAGCCAGGGGCCTCAAGGAAAAGAGACACATTCCCAGGTCACTCACATAGAATGTGTCATAAAAAATAAACCTTTGTGGATTTTTAGCCACTGAGATTCTGGAGATTACTTGTTACTGTTATGGAACCTAGCTTATCTCTACCATCCTGACTAAAAACCATCTTGAGGCACCTGGGTGACTCAGTCAATTGAGTGGCCAACTTCAGCTCAGGTCATGATTTCACGATTCGTGAGCTCAAGCCCCCTATTGGGCTCACTGCTATCAGCGTGGATCCTGCTTCTGATCATCTGTACGCCTTCCCCCGGCCCTCCCCTGCTTGCTCGCTCTCGCTCTCTCGCTCGCTCTCTCTCTCTCTCTCTCTCTCTCTCGAAAGTTAACAAACCAAACCAAACAAACAAACAAACAAAAAACATCTTACAAAATCAGGAAACCCAGGCTGAGGGTTAAGTCACTGGCCGAAGATGACAGGCAGCTGTGAAGCAACAAAACTTCTCTGATCAACAGCATCAATCTGCTGTGTAACACTGTTGGTCTCCCGTGTTTATATTCTGGTCTCGCATTCCCAGAGGCCCCTTGATGATAAAGACTAAGACCACGATCAGTGACATTGTGTCCTTGTCTTCAGAAGGCCAGAGGTCTATTAGGAACAGACACACGCATGATGCGTGTGAGGACAAATGCGTCAGGCTTTGGGAGAGAGGACGTGGAGATGAGAGCAGAGGCTCACCTAAGGCACTGGCAGAAGCAGTTTATTTTAGCTCGTAGGAAGACTGTTAAAACCTTAGACTAATCTCTTCTCGGGGAAGCCTTGAACTCCAGAACGTGAACGGTGTAGAGCAGTCTGAAGACCATTTGGCCCAGTAGGTTTCAACTGTTTCTGCCAGTTATTTACCTGTTTGCCATCAGGTCAGTCCCCCGGCTCTTTGCCAACTGGCTTCTGCCTAAATCTGAGACTGTGCTCAGAGACTGAAAAGTGAGAAGAAGACTTCAGGCTTTGTCTTCCTCTGAGTCAGGTGGCGACTCCAGCAGTGACTGCCGTTCTTCTGACGTTTCAGCCCCCAATCCCACCCCAGAAAGCCCGTGCTTCATTCCTAATTCCAGCTCACACTGTCTGCCCCACCAGGACTCCAGCACTGAAGGGCTGGCCCTGGACTCTGCTAACACCACCTCCTTCTACCCCTCGAGCTCCTACAAGACTACTGCTGTTGCCAATCCCCGGGTGGCCTTCCCAGCCCTGCTCTGCCTTCCAAAAGTCCTAACGCCTTTGTCGGTACTTGGGTGGCCCTATTAAACCTATGAAACAACGTGGCCCTCCACAGAGCCTGAAGGTGCCGCTTCAAGGCACAGGAGTAGAAGGACAATGGCAGGGGCCCTCTTAGGAAGGGGACTTTGGGGCCCTCCTCTGCGGCGGTTTCTCAGGAAATCATGTTTCACAGACTGGGCTTCCAAAGGATGGAAGGACTAGTGGGGTCCAACCTCCTCATTTTACAATCGGGGACCTTGAGGCCTCTACAGGGGAGGTAACATGCCTAGGGATCCTCTAGGGGGACAGAAGCAGGTGGACAACTAGACTAATTCCAATGTTCTGTCCTTCCTTCATTCAGATTTTGGCAAACTGACCATATGAGGAACAGCACCACATTCTCAAAACAGCTAGGGTGGGTGGGCACCCGGGGTTAGTTCCGTCTGGGCTTGCATGCTGACCTTTCCATGGCTACCTTCCCTACCGTGTTTCTTGGCCAGAGCAAGCATTTCCAAGCTTAGGGAAAGTAGGAAATACAACTTAAAAGGAAAGCATGGCATAAAGATTTAAGGGCCTGTGGGAACAAGGGAGCAGAGGTAGACGAAAAAGAATGAAAAATGAGGGGAAAAGACAGAGAGAACCAAGAGATAAAAAGACAATGACTAAGCAGGCAAAAATTCACAAGAAAACTCAAAGCACAAAATTAGACAGCTACACAGAAAAAAATGACACGACCAAGAAATCATCCTTCGCCCCACGGTTTTAAAATTAGAGGTGCCAAGACTACTGAA